AATAAAAGAATACACTTGTGAATTTAAAAATTATTACTATATACAATTTTATAGTAATGAAAATCAGGAAGTATATTTAGATATGTACTATACTATATTACCTGGAACATGGGGAATATATTTTAAAATAAAATTTGAAAAATATATCAAAAATAATATAGGAATACCAAGGTCTTTAGGATCAAGGATAAAATTTCTATTTGATAGACTTGCATATGTCAACAAAGACAATTAGCCCACATTAAATTTCACTCTTGATATTAGACGATACATGAAAAATAGCTTGGGAAATCAATGATAATAGGTTTGGAGGGGTAGATGGCAACAAAGGTGTAGGGATTCTTAATACCAACAACAGTGAGTGGGCAGGTTGGTGATACATTAGGATTGTTAATTAATTCGATAGTTGCATAAGGAGTCGCGGAGTTGATTGGTCGTCTTACTATCCACCATTGTATTTCGATTCGTCAGTTTCAATTTTTTGAAAACTCGCATCGAGTGCAACCGGATATAGGGTTTTCATGGACAATATACTACTCGTAGTTAATAGGTCTACTAACTTCTTCAGGATGAAATATCCTATCTACTCTAATCGTGATTGGCATGGCAAAGGAAATAGTTTAATTGTACAAAATTATAGAAATTGACCCTGATTTTCACCTTGAGGACAAGGTGAATTTCAAGGGGAGGGTATTGATATAACCCCAAATGTAATTAGTTGTTCAACTATTCTACAGCGTTCCACTTAGTTAGGTGGGGGAAAGGTAAAAGGGTAATAGCCATATAATAGAACGTCTATAAATGTAATAAGGTGGGATTTAGGATAAGGATTCATTCAGTGAATATTTTTGTTGAATAAGGGGGAGAGATCCAGGCTCTTGAATGCTTGGAATTGTCATTCAATTTCGGTTCATTTTATCAATACACACAGTTTGACGTGATCATCCATTGAAAAGAATTACATTTCACAAATCAGCCTACTAATTACTAATACATCGCTATGCCCTAACCACTTTGATATTCAGTCGGTTTGCAAGATTTCAACGGGAACCTTCTTCAATTTAGCAACAGAACATAGATCCTCAAGTAGAATCAATTGAGCAACAACTGGTATCTTTGGTATCTTATCAACAGTTCATTATCTCTAATCCAATTAACCCTATAAGCCATCATCTACGGTCTAAAACTCGGCCCACAACTCACTTTCCATCTTCGATACGGCAATACCCTAATCCAACGTCGACGTCACCATTGTCCACCGCCGGCCACCCCATTGACGCCGACAACCTACTCTCTTTTCTTTCCTCGCCCACCCAAAAGCAACAACCCGCTACACTGCTACCTCGATCTTTTCCATCATCTCCAATTTTGTACCATCCATCGTCGATCATCACCGTCCCTGTACACCAAAAAACCACACCACCACAGCCAAAGTTGTACACCACTTCGAGTTACAAACGGCTCCACGCCAACTACATTAGTAGCCACTTCCAAAATCAACCAAACCCTGACTCGACATTCACCATCAGACGCCAATTGTAGCCCCTAGCTGTCGCCTTCAGTATCCAACACAACTTAAACAACCACCCCAAACAAGCCACCCAACACCCTATACATTCGCCTTTGTCAACCAGCCTTCCACTACTACACTAAATTCTGTCCACCAAAACCACCATCGGGTTTGCCAGCCATGTCGACAAGATTCAATTGAATTGGGCCTGGAATACATTGTGCCCCATCTACAGTTCGTTTTGACTCACGAGAGATATTTAAAAAAGGAAAAGCATTTGGATAGCAATATATACAGGAGCTTGGAATAGGAAACTTTTGTGCACAATTAAGAGCTCGTTTTACACTCTAAGAGATATATTAATTTTGCATTTTGAAAGCTTTATTTTTTATTTTGGTGTTTGTGGCCAGTTACATATCACATTTCCAAATAAAAAATGTCGTATCATACCTTTAACAACTACAACACACCCCTTACTCCGTACCATGATAGTGTGCGTGAATTGTCTCCTTGTCGATACAATAATCTTTTGTCTAGGGACTATGTTGACACCATTCATTATTCTTCTAGGCACGTTCCGTTACAACTATGGGAATTTGATGGTCTCACTGAACTTAACTCACGTCTTTATTGGCTTGGTCATATTTGCATCATCTAGGTTAACGCACTGTCACCTTGTGGGATAAGATGAAACAGATCTTAAGTAATAAATATGCCTATGTGTATCATTGAAATGATTTGTTAAATCAATTCATTTAGCATTGTAGGCAAGGTTACTTCCACTGTTAGTAGGTATCTAGCCCATTTCGAAGAGTTATTGAACAATTGTTATATTTATGAGGCTCCCTGCATCACAATGTCAAGGTTTATCGATGGTTTGAATTCTCAAATTTTGCCTAATGATATTCCTACATTCAAATCCTTAGACAACTCTTACCAACATGCCAATCTATGGAACTTATCCTTCCATCTTCGCCAAGCGTGTCATAAACTAGGTTTACCACCTCGGTCCCGATAGTCACCTTCTAAGTTTAGTTTTGTTGCTCTTGAAAAAGAGATTAAGGCTTCTGATGTTGAGTCAATTGAATATTCTGAAACCGAGGATCAAGAATTATCTATATTGTTGTCACCTAAGTTAAATAGTCCACCTATCTTTAATTACGTGCCGAAGTTGATATTGCGTAATCTGTTGTTTGACTTTAACATTGACTTTGATATGATTTTACCTTCACTTTGTGATGCTCCTCGAGTTACCACGTTGTCTAATGTCATGGTTCATTCAAACACTATTCCCACACATAAAATATTGAATTTCTTACGTGAACTTAATATATTTGATTGGCCATCATACTCAAAAGAGAGTTTTGTTTTCAATATAGCATAATTGTTTCTTTATCGAGGTATACTCGAGCCACCATTGTTGCACTCACTTGTTTTTATAGGCCAATTTACTTTGCTAGATCCTTGTGCTTCTCATTATGCACAATCACTTGAAGATTTTGTGGATGAGTTGCATAGATTTTCACTTTTTGGAGTTCCATGTCGCTATTTGTTCAGAAGCAAAGATTGTAGCCCTTGGTCATATCATAGTTGTTGGGAGGATTTGCATCTTCAATTGCTCTCACGTAATCAGTTTCAGACATTTTATTCACAAGAAAGATCGCCCCCTTGGCCTGAGTTCAACCTTAGGATGTGGTTCAAGGTTCAATATAGGCAATTGGTTAAAATAAAAGATAAACCTCCTTGAAGTACGAAATTCCAGTCTACAGTTGAGTTCTCTCAGCCAAGAAAAAATGATGCAATATTATAAGAGATAATTATTTTGTTTCCTATTTTGATTCGTATTTTAGGAAACATGATTAGAGTGTGATTTAATAACTTTTATAACATTTCTTTACTTAATTATGATTTTTGAAACCCTAGATAAAGGGGTTATGTCAATGTAATAAAGGAACCTTTGATAATGAAATAAATTGATATTCTCCCCTTATTTCTCTATGTTCTCTCCCTTTTCTTCTCTGTTTTCCGTGTCCTTTCTCTTCTTCTCTGCCATTTCCCCTTTTCCTATAATTCTTCTGTAGCTTCCTGCGTCAGAAGAACTTTTTGTGGAAGACTTACTGATCTTCAGCAAGATAATTTATTCTCACTACTGCCTTTGACTCCTATGATACGCTGAAAACATGGTGAGTTTGATTTGCCAAGATGAAGCCAGTAAATGTATGGTTTTGAAGGTGATTTAAAAGATAGGGATAGCTTCTTAGAGTGTAAACCATCATATTTCCCTGACAGTTGTTTGACCAACCGGACAATCTCGAGCAAGATTTGAATTAAGACATATAGTTAGGGTTCTATTTGGATAGATATATAACAATGCAGCAACAGTATTTCACCAAATATGTAACCTTGCATCAAAAGAAAGAAATTCACCTGCCAATATCTATTGAAACTTTATTCATGCTCCAGTTATCATTTTACTCTTCACATTTTAGTTATATTTTGAAGAATATTCATGACAAAAGAGAGTACATTGTGCTTCTCTTATGATGCACACTAGAAACTTAAGTGCACATGAAAGCATTCTACCATTTTACTGCCTCAGAGAGTGCCAATGGATAAATTTTTCCTGCTTCAAATGTGTTTATCCTTGGCTGGTGTCCCTAGAAACTAATGAAGTCAAACTTTTTGAGAGTATCCATGGCTTCTTTAAGTGCACATGAAAGCATTCTACCATTTTACTGCCTCAGAGAGTGCCAATGGATAAATTTTTCCTGCTTCAAATGTGTTTATCCTTGGCTGGTGTCCCTAGAAACTAATGAAGTCAAACTTTTTGAGAGTATCCATGGCTTCTTTAAGTTACCTATATTCTGAAAACATTTTGCTTGCTTGCCGGCATCATTATAGTTCACATCCATCCAACATTAATAGCTAATTACAAATTATAATATTCATCAATTAAATATAAATAATTGTAGCATAACAAAAGAAAATTAAGGTTTGATACAACAGTCAATGCAACTTCATTGCTTATCAGTGTGAACAGCTACAATGTACAGAAACACTCAAAACAACACAGATTGGTCACTGTGAGCTGATAACAAATTTGACAGCACATGAAAGTATATCAGTAGAGTGAATAAATGTAGAATTATTAATCAAATTTCTAACACCTCAGCTTTTCCAAATGGTACTATTTTATAACTACCAAGTCTCCTATATTCTGGTAATAAATTGATCATCCACATTAACCTAATAAAATTATTAATAACACCTTATTAGTGCATCTTTAGAGACTTTTCAGTAGTTCATTATTCAATGCTGATGCTCAATTTTTGTAACTATTAGGAAACTATCCTCTTAATGACAGTAACAGCTGTTGAAACTAAATGAGCTGTAGAATTTCAGCAAACTACAGCTATTTCTTCCATTGTATTTCCAAAAGGATATAATACACTTTCTATTAAGACGCATATCAACATTTACGCCAAATTTATAACCTTTAGTTACGCAATCCTCTATGGAAAAAAATCCACTTTTAAGAACCTACCATCCATTAAAGATTGCCATTAGTTTGACAAATATAAATAAAGACTGCAGTAATAAATCCATAAAATGAGTGACTTCTCAATTCCGAGTAGAAATGTGTAAAAAGAATTTATGTTGCTGAGAATTAAGCAAAAGTAAAAAAACTATATGAAAATCTAGAACCCTTAACTTGACAACCAGTATGATAGTAACACACGTGGATCAGAATATATCTTAAAATGTAATATCTTCATATTTCATTTCACACTGCTTAAAAAACTTAATTACCCCTTCATACAATTTCTTCCACACCTTGAACCATATTGGAATAACAGCCCATGGGGCAATAGTCTAATGAATATTCAAATATCAACAGTACAACCACCATTAAAAATCTCCAAATTTAATCATAAACAATCATCTGATAAACAACAGAACAAAATTAACAGAATTTCCATTCAATAAAAAATACCTAACGAAGCTGACGTGAACCCCGAGGCTCCGGTGAACAGCAGAGCAATCAATACACAGGAAGATCCCGTACGTCACCGACGCCCAAGTAGGATTCTTCGCATTGCAATCGAAACACATCTGCAAATAAACAAAAAGCAGATCCAAAAAAAAAAACTTGCAGATCTGAATCAGATCTCAGCATTTGCAATCGAAATTTCCAAAAAAGAAAAAAATACAAGTAATTAAAAACAACGCAAACCTTGTTATCGGATTTGGCTCTGAGCTTGCGAAAAACAGCGTTTCTATCGGTGTAATTATCAGAAGCCATGGCTATATTTCTGTTTATAAAATTTGTCAGAATATATATAATACTATCGATAGATAGAGTGTGTATAATAGAGGGAGGGAGGGAGGGAGGCTCTGAGAGGAAGTTAGCCGAAAGAGACCTCCCACAGAACCCAGAGGAAATATGAAAGAGCAAAATGTAAACGAAAAATATATGCGAAACGGCTAATTTATCAGATAAAATAAATGCCCCTGCAAAATGTGCTTATAGGGTAATTTTTCGCTTCTGGAAAAAAAAAAAATCAAAAGAAAGAAGGTTAATAAGCCCCTGTGACAATCATCAAAACAAAACTCTTCTTTTCTCAAATTAATCTTTAATCACACTTTTCAAAATAAAATATTATAGATATAAATCAGAAACTTCTTTCTACATTTTAATTACACATTCTCTTAAAAAAAAAATCATTATTACAAAACTCATTTTTCCATAAAATTCCTTGAAATAGTTATCCAATAGGGGCTAATTATATTCATACTAAGGGGGTGTTTCAATTGGGACTTTTAAAGATTTTTTTAAGGGAGTGACTTTTGTGGATTTTGTAGACTTTTAAGTGATTTCTATGGATGTGGTAAGAATTAATAAAAAAATTTCATGAACTTTTGTAGACTTTTAAAAACTTTTATATTTTAAAATAAAATATTAAGCATACATAATATAATATTTTAAACAACTTCTTGTATATCCAAATCATTCATAAATATTATAATTGAAAATGCAAGGAATTAAATCATATTTCTCATGGCAATAAAATTTTAAATTTTTTTTTTCAACTTACATAAAATGGATTAACAAATAATAAAAATACTAAAAAAATTTAATAGTATTTAATAATGTTCAACAAAAAAATATCAAACATTCCCAATATCCTTTCACATATCAGTTGCTATAGTATCCCTCTATGCATTAGCACTCTCTCCTTCTTGTTCTTGACTCTCAAAAAATGGTCCAAAATCTTCCCCTTCATTAACCAAAGTAGATAAAGAATCTTCATGATTCAATATGAAATTTATCAGAACGACACTCTTTGCGAAGAAAATTGTGTAATCCTACACAAGGCTCCACTTGTTTACGATATGGAAATGGAGGAGCAGTTTTGAAAATTGTAAATCGTGATTTAAATATACAAAATATCCTCTCAACTACGTTTCTCAAGGAAGCTTGACGAAGATTAAACAACTCTTTTGTATTTTTAGGGTCACAACCTTGACTAGCAAAATCTTGAAAATGATAACGAACACCTCGAAAAGGAGTTAAAAATTGAATCTGATTTGAAAATCCACAATCTCCAAAAAAATATTTACCTGAATATAAAATAATTGTAAAATTATCACATGACTTATAACATGTATAATTATCATACAATAAGATAAAAAAAATGAAATAATAAAGTCATACCTGGTGCCACATTAAGTTCATTGTCCTTGTTAAAGCATCACCTAATACCTTAGAATCATGTGTTGATCCCTCCTAATCACTAAGTACATATATAAATTCCAAATCAAAGTTACAAGCGGCCAAAACGTTTTGCGAAATTGTTCCATGACGATTTTAAATACTGCTTGTATCACGTCCAATTACCATTGCTGGAATATGGGCACCATCAATAGCACCAATACAATCCTATAATAAAACAATACAAATAAATAATGATAACACTAATGATAACAAAAAACAAAAATTATAATTAACATTATTTCATCACTTACTTTAAAATAAAGGTAAAATCTTGTACTTTCCCTTATTTTTTCTGGCACAATGGATCCGAGTTTGACCATCATATGTATCGCAAATTTGTTTAATGTCTATAAATTCTTGTTGAAACTTCAACCAGTAGTGAAATGCAATCGACCAAATTTTTGACGAATCAAGCAATATCGAGTATTTTGACCAACAATGAGTAGGAATGTTGCAA